TTATCGAGCTGCCTCCCGACGGCCGGAACACACGAAGGTAATTTGCGCACTATCATGTTTAAAGCTGATATACCGCCATATGTGTGGATGCCTACATTACCGCCTTTGTGCAAAAGAGAATCGACGCATTCGGGCGCTTCGTTCAATGCTGCTACGTGCAGCGGTGTAAACCCGAAATGATCCTGGACGTTAACCTTGGCCTGGTAGCCAAGTAACACTTCTACAGCTTGGCTCACATTCAAAGTCCTGGCAGCGATAACCGTGTGCAGCGGCGTTCGGTCATCAACGTCCCTGGCGTTGACGTCAGCGCCGGCTCTGACCAACGCTTCAATACATTCGACGCTCTGCGCTTTGGCGGCCATATGCATTGGCACTTGCAACTTGGAGTTTTTGTCATGAACGTTACCGCCATGATCAAGTAACAGTTTGACACATTCTAACTGCGCCGACTCACAAGCCAAATGCATGGCTGTATTATCTTGATAGCCTTTAATGTTGACTAGAATTCTATCTGAAATTAATAACACATTCATGCAATCGGCGAACCCTTGATCTGCACATATATGTATAGGGGCGAATCCAGACGAGTCCAGAACGTTCACGTACACCGAGTACTTGGAGACTAGCAGCTTAATGCATCTGACCGCTCTGGCTTTAACGGCACTATGCAAAACTGTGGGTTCTAACCTACAACCGGAATCTACGAGCAGCTGTACAGAGTCCACGGAATCGGTGTAAGTAGCAAAGTGTAAGGACGACGTGTCATCGACGCGAGCGTGTGGACTGCAACCGGCGTTAATTAAACGCTTTAGACATCGCACGCAGCCGTTTAGGGTACTCATGTGTACGGCGCCATAACCCCTAAACGGCAGTACATAATCTATGTTGGTGTCGGCATTGACTAGGGTTTGAACAATGTCGCACTTGTCCAAGTATCACAACAATATNGCATTGACTAGGGTTTGAACAATGTCGCACTTGTCCAAGTAGCACGTCCACAACAATATCAAGTTTTTCAATTGCTGAGGACATCTTTTCAACACCGTCAAATCTGCCTGGTCGTTCTCCACCTCTCGGAGAAACTGAAAACCATTCGTGAACTCTTTGGACGCGTCCAACAGACACTGTTTGACCATTTCCCTGTAATTGTTCACGCTCAACTCGTTGGAAAATCTACGGCCGCCCGACATAACCGTTGTCTCCGTATCGCTCGGTTCTTCGACCTCTTCTACAAGATCATTGGAATAAAAATGTTTTACAGTATTCATGGTTTAACAACTTTATTATTATAAAATAAACAAGTTGTCAAAGTAACTACACAACTATTTTAGTTCTATTGTCAATTATGATTAACATGAAATTAAAAAAAATATACTTATAATACTTAACTTAAGAAATACTTAACCAAAAATAGTTAATTCAAATAAAAATAGTAATTAAATTTTCATATTATAAATAGAAGTTTACCCCATCACTTCAATTTAATATATGTCAATTTACATTTAATTAATTTAGTTTTTTTGTTAATATTATTATTAAAAAAATGAATTTTTGACCGTAAATACATTTATTATAATATGTCTCTTTTAAAGAGAATTTGTTTTTTATTTTGAATGTAATTATGTAAAAACTAAATATTTAATTTAATTAATTTAACCATTTTTTTATAATATATCTGTATTTAATTAATTCATTGAAACAATTTTTTTAGTAAATTAATAATAGAATAATAAATTTTTATTCATTGGAAAATTAAAATTAAATGTATTATTATTATGAGTATGAAATATACAAATAAAATGTTTTCTATTTTGTATTATTACATATGTCAGTTATAAAATGTTTACAATTAATTATTATTATAATAAATATATTTTATGTTTTATTAATTGACTTTTGATATGATTTATTTATTAATCTAACAAATGAATTATGTAATTTAAATATATATTCTTTTTTAATTTTTTCTATTTTATCTTTCAATATTTTTTCATATGTATTTAAAAAATAATGTGTTATTTTGGGTTTTTTTAACTCCAATATATATAAATATATAACTTAGAAAAGTAATAAATATCTGAGTCATACATAACAATATAATTTTTATTTATATGCTTGTGTTAAACGTTTTTTTCAGGAGTGTTTTAATATTTTTCCATAATTGCCTCAAAAAATATAGATTAAGTACCAATTCCCCCCCAAAAAATGTTTTTGACATATTTTTTGTGCATTTGAATCGAAGCGTTTTGTTATTGTGATATTAAGTTTGAATCTATAATAATGTTTATTACACTTAGTATTGACTATACTGTTTTTTTTCAATAAAACATATGAAATCAAGGGGTGCATTAGAGGCAAAAAATAAATTACTTTTCTTATGATAAGACTTTTATACTTAATACTTACTTCACCACCGCGTGAACGTATATTTACCAACAAAATCTTTATAGTACTTTAAAGCGGTAACTGGATAATAGACGTCCAAAAAAGAAAGGTAGACAAACAGTATTCTTGTTTGTAAATTTTCTTCGGTATATATTACATAGGCTGTATCATTGACAAAATAAGGTTGATTCTCTTTTGTTCTGTTTTGACATATAAACGTACTTAAATTCAATCTTATTGAAAGTTGATATTTTGCTATGAACCGAAGATCATTTTTAAATATATATTTTTTTATACTTTCTAGCATTTCAACGGCATTTTCAAAGTATTTTCCGTGAATTTTCGATAAATTTTAATGATTACTGTAAAAATCCTAGAGTAATAGAATTACATGTCAGCTGTTATTTAACTTCAAGTGTTCAGGTCTAAAAAAATCTAACAAAAAAGTAGATCAATGCTATTAATTTGAATAAATTTTATTTCTCAACTGTTTAAAATAATATTATAAACAATTGTATTTTTCTCAAGGAACTTTCAGAAATATAATTATTGAAATTATACGAAAATGTTTTGAGAATATTAAGTAATATATTTAATATTTATTGAATGTTAATTTTGATCTTAAATATTAATTCAATTTTTCTATCGTAAAATTTGAGCTATAAAATTTTAAAATTTTATAGCTATTTCAACGAGGAAAAAAACCTGGAATACTGGCAACTTTGATTATTTATTTACCATAATTAATAAGAAACTATTATTAGTACAACTAATAGTAGTAACAACTACTATTAAAAACAAAATTTTATATGAATGTGTTAAAGTAAACATTTTATACTTTATATCATCTCAAGTTAAATCAAGGTATCAAAAAATTATAAATTATACTAAATACAGGATGGTCCATAATATTTTGATAAATCTAAGAACTTTTGATCATTAAATATTTTGCATTACTTCTTTTAAAACTATTATTACACTTTATGTCTAAAAATGGTTATATTTTACTACAGAATATTTACTACTGAACATCAATAAGATATTATTTTTCGAAATTTTTTAAAAGATGGTTATCTTAATTTATTTAATTTACATTTTTCGCTAATTTAACAAAAAAGTTATTTTCTTAATAAATTAAAAATATTTTTTATGATACTTTAGTTCCTTATAGTCTTAAGTGTAATAATAATTTAAAAAACGGTAGCACAGTGGGGTCGAGGCACAGTGTGGACGAGGCATAGATGGGACAAGTATAGATGATATCTGACAGTGATTAAAATCACTATCATAAGAAACGCTTCGATGCAAATCTGTAGATAGTGTTTCATTTAGAGAAATTGGTGGATTATTCCAAAAGCAACATCAACTCTTATTTCTTTAATTATATCCTGATTAGTAGTATTTTGATTTTAAAATATAATATATGAATAAATACTAATTATAGTTTTTAAATTCATTATGAAATTGTGAGGCCTATCTATATGTCTCACTATACGTCTATGTAAATATTTTTTTTAATTAATCATCTCCATAAATAATAGGAATATAGAACTCGTTTTTATACTAAATTATGGAGAAAAATAATATTTCATCAAAGTTATCAAAAAATTATTTTATGAAAAAATAGAACATATCAGGTTGTTTCTCTAGGATCTTCAATAATTATTGGCCCCTTACCCCGCAAACCTAGCGCTGAAACTAATAGATAATAAATGTTTGAAAAGAAATTACTTTTTAGTAACATTTTTAGCAAGTAAATAACATACTTAGGCAGAATACTTTTCTGAACACCCTGGAAATACTTTTTTAAATCATTATCTAACCTAAAAAACATATTCATGAATCTAAATCATACAATTTATATTGTCTTCCATACTCTAGTATTTTCAGGAAAGTACATTTATTCTAAATACCAACGTTTTAATGTAAAAATTAATATTTCAAATATAAGTATTTGATGTTTTTATGATGAAAAAAACTAAGAATACATTGCAAAAAAAAAAAAAAAATTACTATACAAAATGTGAGTGTTAAACATTTTTAGGCATCAGCTTTGACTAAGTAATAGATTTTATTTAATAAATAAAATATAAAATAATTTTATCTAATGATTCAAAAAAGTATTTCTAGGGTATTCGAAAAAATATTTTTCATAAGTATGGTAAATAACAATTTATTGGAATGTCGTACAAGACAAAATAAAAGTTCTATATTATTTCAAAAATATTGAATTATAATATTAGTTTTACACATTTAGTACAATGTTACAAAATAATACAAAATTTAGTATCACTTTTCATGGTTATAATTTTGTTTCTATGACGTTTTTAGAATAACACTTAAATGTTTTATTTCTTCTTAAGTATTCCTATTAAGTATTATAATGTATTATTACCTCTCCACAGTTGACATAATAGTAAAAAAACATTGTTAAACCCTTGGTGTTATAATACAATAATAAGATAATGGAAAGTCAACAGAATAGTGGTTTAAGATGTTCAAAAATAGTAAGCGTGCCACAGCACGAAAAAGTTTTCTATACTATTTTTACTATCAAATTTAGTCAATAAAAGAAACTATATACTTTATTTTATTACTTATTGTGACTGAGCCCTTGGGTTGACCTGTTAAATAGAATTTCCACAAAAATGATAAGGAAAATAAAAGAAACTCAATACACGAAACAGGTAGTGAAGATTGGATAAACAATGAAATGTTTTTGAATTTACTTAGTAAAGACCTAGTTAATGTTCAAAATCGTCTTGTAAAAGATCTCTTGCAGTTAACTCCACAGATGAATTGTAATGAATTGTCAAAGAAATGTCTGGAACATGTAAAATTAAAATTATTTTATTTACATTTTCAAATTTCATTAATAACTGTGTGTTTATAGATCACAACTCTCCCAATGGGTACTGGCACTGTAACCACAACCAAACATGGAACAATAGGGTTACAGTTACCATATGACGTTTCTGTTGAATTGACTTTAGACGGTTCTGTTCGATTAACAAACCGGCTGGTTAGTGTTGTTACTTGTTTTTTATGTCATTAAAATGAATTTTGCGTAAAATAATTTTAACTATCATGTGAAAAATACATGTTATTATAAGGTTAATTATTGCTGGAAATATTACTTTTATTATTGCCTCCTTAAAACTGAATTATACAACCATTATATAATGAGTTTTTAACACTAATGATAATATATATGGTTTATTTTAAAAATGCAATTCTAATGCACTCTGTAAACATTAAAAATTCTTTAAATCAGGAAAGGACAATTTTTTTTTCTTTTATTAGATTAAATTAAATTTTTGAATTTGTAAATTTAAAAAAAGAATAATTTTAGTTGAATTTGGCAGTTGCATTTAATGAGGACAATACCAAATCGGCGTTACTTCATTCTATTGGTACCATTTACCAGACTGACAAAACCGTAGAGATAAGAGCCAAAGATTTGATTGGTCACGATCATAAGTATGAACTAAAAATTATGTAAAATCCATAATTCTGTATTTCTATAGTTTATAAAATTATATCAATTAAGATATTTAAAAACAAACTATTATTTTCAGAAATATCTTAATATTTAAACTAAATTTTACAATATCAATGCATTTAAACATCCAGTTTGCCTATACCAAACGCCGTTGTACTCATAAACTTTTGCAATGCCTTCTAATTATTTAACTACCTTTTAAATAATATGTTGAATTTTTATTTTTTTTAATAAATTAATCATGATTATTTTAAGTTGACAAAAATTTGACGTTTTCATTCCAATTACCTATTACCTTACTTGATTTTTAAAAATAAGAAAATACAAAAGATTGCTAAACTTATTTTCCACGCTCCACGCCAAACATTCAATTATTGTGTGGAAAATTCAACTTTTATTAATATACATATATTAATAATACAATGATTAATCACAATACAATTTTCGACTAACTAGACCTAAAAAATTTTTTACTATTATTTATCTAGATCGGTGAAACTGTTTCCAGCTGGTGCTTGTTTCACTTCGACATCCAATTGTTTAGTTTATATAATAGATGAAGCAGGAGTTCGGTCAACTATAAACCCATTCAAGATTGCTAGCAACGACTTTTCGTTAGATGTGTTTTTCGCCAATTGTCGACACGGTCCGACCTACGTTGAAGAGTGTAATAAAGCTCTAGCTGAAATCAAACACGCGGTGACCCAGTTTGATACGCATATTTGGAGGTATAAAGACATAGTAGTTAGTCAAACAAAGGATGGATCTACAAGGTATTTAAAAAATTGTATGAAGATATAAACTACATTGAGTTTAACATTATTATTGGCATCTGAATAGTCTATCAATTAATTAAAAGCAATTTTTTTATTAATCAACAGAATATTGAAAAATTTAGAAAATGAAATAAGAATGTCACCACAATGGAATGCAGTGTCAATAATTTCACCACACATCCATTGTTCTGCATCAATATCGTCCAACTCTAATGGTGCCCTCATGGTTTCTCGGGGGTCGCATAGCGTTAACTACAATGGACAAAAGTTGACCGTTCATTATAAAAAAATAGCATCAGGATTTGATGATTCAGGCCAAGTAGCTATCTATTAACACAATCACTTTATATTCTTCTATAGATTATTTTATTTTCTTAAATAAAAAGGCTCATCATTTATCCAGTACTATGCTGAATTCGTTAATTTTTTTTACAACTGTTTGGCAATTATTATTTATGAATTATAATACAGAGGTAAACTGTGCTTAATTCAAATAACACAAGTCATCAAATTTCAGATTACGCTGATTCATCTCTGTTAGGTTATGAAACTGCTGGATTTCTTGATCAAAGTATAGACTGTGGATTGTTCATTCAAAACATTGGAACTTTGACCCATATAACTTGAAGACTCCCGAAAATCTAAAAACATTCTACTAAATAAAGATCTGCTAACTATTAATTACATTTATGTTGGCGTGACCAAAAGCACATTGTGGTGATGCTCAGGCTCCTCAAAAAAAAAAATTATCACTATACGCAATTGAAAATTTAATTGTGTATTTATATGACATATTAATAACGTATATAATAATAGATACATTTACCTTTGTGTAGGCTGCTAAAGCTTATTTGGAGTTAATCTCATACTCGGGTTTTATAAAATTTTGTAGTTTTACAAAAACAATTTAATGGGGGACACGTAATTTTGTTGACAGAATCCTTTTTGAATACAACAGTGGTTAATTCATAAATTATTTGTACCATTAAAAAACAGGCTGGACTTGAAGTAGGCATTTACAAAATCAGTGCCCCTTCCCAGTGATATATTTAGAAATTTACTATAAGAGAGCCGTAAACTTTCATAACTCTACGATTTGAAAGTCATACAAAAGCTTCACCTATCTACATTCCCTAAGTACCAAAATTTTATATCAATGGAGGAGTCCAGGTTTTGTGAATACGCATCCGTTCCTTTTAAGTATCAAGTTAAATAAAAAAATTTGAACGAATCTGTCAAAATGCCTCTCTAAAATTTTGGACTCTAGGTAGCCGTCTTGTCTGCCTAGGTTGTAAAGCAGCCCTGAGAATAGATATGAAACATAAATCGCGAGACTATTTTTATATTTTTAGTGACGTTATTTTTTATCGTTACAACTTGGTTCTCTGTCGTTCATCGTTGACTTGCAGCAATAGCGTTAACATGCCGGCCGGTTTGTGCGAATTATTCGCACGGCGGCTACCGTTACGAAGGGCGAACGGAACACCGGGAAAACAGATCCGCGGTCGCACGCGGTTACCATGACAACGTACGCCGGTGGCTACGACCCAGCGACGGGTGGTAGTGAGGTGTCCGGCGCACGCACCGTCGCAGCAGACGCCGCCGCCTGTTATGATCTGGCAGCAGTAGCACACATGCTCGACACACGGTCGGCCGGTCTAGGCGATTGCTGTGCGTGTTGTTCGGTAACGGTCGTGAGTTGTAGCGCAACCGAGTGTCGTGTCTAGTTCGGAGGTTTTCCCCGGGACCGGTTGCCGTCGATCGACCACGTTTTTACGGTAATATTGCGGTATGATGGACAGAAAGTGGTGACTGTGCGAGTGTGACTTATTTGACAAATCGTCGCGAGTGTGCCGCAATCGCCATGTCTCGCGGCACCACCATGGATTACAGGTGTTCCAGAATAGGTGAGTACTTGATGAAAATATAAGTTTCATTAACTTACTCAAAAGCTCAGTCAAATGCAAACATTACGTAAACGATTGTCAAGATCCCCTATACTTGAATGGCGTGCTTCAGACCCCTCTGTCGCCACTTTACCGCGCCCTTGTGTAATGCTAATAATTATTACCGCGCCCCGTCTAAACTCATATTTTTATCGCAAACTTTACTATACGTGGAAAAATTACATTATGTATTTTTCATGAATTTCTTATCAATATGTTATTTTATAACCAGATAAACAGATTGATAAGCTTCAAAACATATCCTTAACAGTTCAATTTCTATATTGTATTGGAAAAAATGTTTCAACAAATTAAATACAAGTTAAAATAACTTTTTTTGATGATAATCATTATGTTATTTATTGTATCTATTTATTAAACACTCTTTACTTTATTATAACTGACGAGTATTTAACAAAGATTTTAGTGCCCGAGACATCATTTAGTCGGCCAGTTTATAGTACACTTAACAATGACTTTAACGAGTTTAATAATCATATTACCTGATATTCCATATTGAATAATTCCTAGTTCAATTGCTTTTTAATAATGTCTCGTGTACATGACTATGTAATATAACCAGGTCTTGTTTTAAATTTTCAAAAACCCGTTATCATGTAAAACGTGTAGCATTCAAATAAATGAACTAAATTGACATTATTTTTATAACGTGCTTTTCCGTGTACTGAAATTTCATTATTTCAGTATTTGGACAAAAGTGGAAACGCCTACCCATTTTCTCGAAATAATATTATAGTGTATTCTGCGACATTAAAATGTTTTTGCACCTTTTTACTGCAAAACTTTTTTTCTCGTTTTAATTGAGTAGAGCCTCATATCGACCGTTGGCGTCAACAAGACGGGAAAACCCCACCCGAGTTGTTTTTCATAGGAAATTCAGTATTTCTCATTAAATGAAATCAATCCTTCGTCGAGTTGCAATATATTTCGATGTTCTCGCGTTGACTGATAAAAATACGTTTATGTATTAGTGATTCGTTTTTAACCGACTTTTGGATTTCAGTTGTCAATAAAAAATTGTTGAGCTCTGCTTATTAAAATTTCATGTTTGATTTAATAAAGATTCGTCTCAATTCAGCTCGGACCAATATTTTCGAGCACATTGCCATTTTCATGTAGTAACATTGTAATATCATATACTAATATCATTAATGGAATTAACGCATTGAACGTGGTGACCGAATGTTCAGCTTACTCAGCACCTGCTTGAGTGACGTTGTCCAAATATTATGTTAAATAAACATTTTTTTCCCCTACGTAAAACCATAGCAAAATTTGTCTTCGCGCTATAATCGGATCAAGTTGTACAGCTGCTTTTTTTTTTATAAAGATTATAACTCTCAGTGTTCTCCTTACGTTTTATAATTTCGTTATCTATCCGGTAACATTTACCCCATCGATGATGTCTGATTTCCTATTACTATTAACCTTACCACGTCTAAACAACAGCTGAAGGAGCTTCGTCATAATTACTGCGGTCGTAATAGTTTTTCCTGCCTTTTATTTCTGGGAGAGTGAGCTCAGACAATATTGAGTTGCCCGACAGATGCTTATACATTTATACTCTTGTAACAACACCTGTATAGTTAAAATAATTTTCATAATGGACTATTTCTTTGGGGAATCGCATCCTATGGTTAATATACGGAAGTCGACCGTGTCCATCCAACTCACAATAATACTGTTTCTGACTTTTAAACACAACATTAAAAATCATTTTTCATATTAGCTCCTCAGCGACTCATTTCATAAAATATTAAAAAAATTTTTTAAGTATTAGAAATCCGTAAAAAAAAAATACAGTATTTCAGTTTTATGACCTTGATTTTTGACCATTAAGAAAACTATGACGTGTTAAAATAAAATTGACATTATGAGTTACCTGACTGTGATTGTTTTTTTTATGTGTCATATCAATGTTAAAACTAAATATAAAATCAGAGTCATTTTTTAATCTAATAAATATTACTCTAATTTATTTAATTTACTAAATTAGTATTAGTGATTTTATCAAATAATTATCTTGTAATAATTGGATTTTATGTTCACTTTTAGAAAAACTGTTAGATTAAAACTAAACCGTTAATATTATAAATGTTTTATTTTTATTAATAGTTGAATATTTTCAATGCGACATTTTACTGCTATTTTTTTTGCACAAAATGACCGCTTCCTGTTGATAAGTGTTAACATACAGATATCTTACACATTTTAGGCTCGAATAGTTGTCATGTACTATATCTAGTTTCCTATACAATATCTACCATGCGTTAAAAAACAGTAGTGCAAAAACTGAAGCTGATTTGTTTTACACGCATGCTCGAAACAGCTGTGCGATGGTATTAAATAACGAATTAAGGGGTCGATAGTGCAGGGGCGTGTGACTACCACTAATAGGACGTTTTGGATATTTCCGGTTTAAAGGCTTAATACACGACTAAACAGTAAATAATCAAACGAACTATATTTTTAGAAATAACAGTCCCAATAGGTGCCTACTCAAAACAATATGTTTGGCTTTGTCAATACCTCAAATTTATACACTCATATAAATCACACTTGTAAATAAAATTAAAAGATATCATTCATATAAAAATAAACTTATATAAATAATAGTTTTTCTGTTGAAAATTTCAACCTTTTTTTTTGCTTTTATTTTTATGAATTTTGTGGTTTTTTGGACAAAACCAGCTTGTATATATATTTTTAATCTGTATGCCCTGTAAATCATTTATATCTCCGTATAATAAATAATGTGTGCACTTCATAATTTGATGGAACACAGTACCATATATATTGAATATATTATGTTATTTTATTATATATTATTTGTTATTTTATATTATTATATTTTTACATTCTTCTGAATATATTTTTTTCATAAAAAATTTTTGTCTTTTCTATTATAAAATGAAATTTTTGAAAACATCACTTTGTTTTATGAAAAAACAAAGTTACAATGATATTGCCTTTCACTTGAGTGTCTATAAATTGTTAAAGTTAACACTAAATATTTATACTCCATTTAAACTAGCTTTTTAAATAAACTCATTAAATACAATCGATAACTTTAATAATTAACTGTTGATTTAGTTTCGCACAACTGAGAAAACTTTAACCATACATTTTTTACTCTCTGATTGCTCATTTTATTATACTTTTAATGAGCAATCTAAGTTATTTTATTATGATAAATAAATATTTTAATAAGCTGCGACGCATATGTTCTTTTGAATTAATATTTATATGTGATTGTATCAACTGTTTCAATACCGTACTCGATATTAATCGATATTTTTTATTGCAGAACGACAAGGTAATTTTTTTGTCGTTTAAATGTTTGTAATACAATACTATTTTAGATTGCTGATCTGAAAATATATTCGATTATTTTGTTCGACTTAATCACGAATTTGTCGTAATGTTTAGATAGGCGTGTTCTTCATACGTTTACTTAGAATTCATAACCGTACTCGTATCGATTCTCAAAATTTATTCGAAACTTTGTTACCAAATGTTACTTCTAAATTGGTTTGAAACAATAACAAGAGCTAATTTGCTTCGTTCAACCAATTAATCGGATAATTTAAATTGGCTTGAAATGAAATTAATTTATGACGAACGACTTGCTTTAGGAGTTTCTGATCAATGTTCGTTGGTAGTAATAAATTTAATATTAAAAACTATGATTATAATGTTTAGGATTCGGTATTATATGTAATTATAAATTTAGTTTGAGCCTCTTTGAAATGTCTCAATTTCGTCAACTTTGGCATAGGATTATTAGTACTGTAATAATAAATGTCTCGTTTTAAGGGGGATAATCTCCCCGAATCCCCCTCTAAAAAAAACTATAACCTCGCTGACAATATATTAATAATTTTACAAGTAAATTATTAAAAAAATTTACCGGTTCATGGAGTGTTTGCAATAATTTAACAAAATGTATAAATATATTTATAATACCGAGCCCTACTAATGTTCTAAAATTTTTTTTTAATTTTTGAAACGGCGCTGGATGTTTACAAACGGTGACACGTGTGTTGCTAGGTATATGAGAATTAGGGAGGGTTGTTTCGATAAATGAGATAAAAACAGTTAGGTAAGGTGGAACAGCTCGTGCTGGACAGGTGGTTACCGCCAGCACAACGGAACACCCTAAAGCCGTACGTGCCTAGGTCCCCGCATGTGTTATGGTGCACGTGGCCGTTTTCTGCCATGGACCTTAACACATTGTAAGCGGAGTACAGGGACTTGATGACAAATAGAAACAATACATTATAATATTTTGGTAGGAACGGCATGCACACAAAAGGTGCGTGTCGTTTGTTTCTTTTTTCATCTTGTTGGGTAAACGTCGGTGATATTTCCTATAGGGGTAGTGGATAAACAGCAATAATTATATTTTCCAGCGCTGTTTGGTGTGCCCAGTTGATCACAACGAAATATTATTTTGGAAATTATCTCAAGGGATACAAAAAATAATAATAATAATAATAGTTTATTATACGTGTAGTATCACTAGAGAATGGACAATATTTTCATAATTGGCAATTCGTTTCAGTGGTAACATTACGTGTTTATTCGGGGACTCGACGGCTATGCGTTTTCGGTAATCATTTAGTAGTTACGGCCACCGAGTGTATTATTGTCAAAAGCAGTTACCACCAGAGTGTTTGTTTGTATTCGCATTTATTCGCCAACAAGATTTTACATTGCCATTTAATAACATAATGTTTTCTGTTGTAACACTATAATAGCGTGTGCATTAGTATACCAACAAATCAGCTATATGTATAGAGTACACATACAACTTAAGTCATGGAAACACTAAGTTATTTTAATACACGCACTTTAGAGTGTCTGAAAACTTGCCTTGTTTACTAAGACACTAACGACACGATTGTAGAACAAAAGGATAATATTGTGTTTTGGATTTC